CCAGTACTTGAGCTTTAAAGGACTTATATCTGATATGATGGTAGATAGAATGGCCAGGTTGCTCTCTGACCGTTTTTTCTACAACATGTGAAAACATTCAGAACAATACAAATTAAAGACCTGAGTGAAAATAAGTGCCCCATACCTGTGCATGTCAGATAACTGGGTGTACACTGCCTTACACCCCACGAAATTGATTTGAGGTCACATTCTGAAACCGAGTTGGTGTTCTCCTGGCATTGGATTCCTACCAGTCCTTTGGTTTGAGGCTCATCACGAGGAGTCACACTAGGTTCATACTCCCCACAGTTGAGTTCCTTGCAGACTGCATTGTAAAAGTTTTGATTCAGACTCTCTCGACAGACTGGCTTCCAGTGACCCGCAAAAAACAGAGACACTTTTCCAGCACATTTGTCTCTCGGATCCTCCAGTCTAGCTTTAATGCTTCCTTCAAGGAATATGTGAAAAAATGTCATCAAATGGCTTTACGTTTCATTTTATTTTTTTTACTTTTGTCCAAATTAATCTATTTTAAAAATAGAAGCAAGCAAATAGTTCCTATTCTCAAGAAATCCTAAAGTTGAACTAATCTAAAAAGACATCGAAGTGTCTCTTCTCTGAGGAGGTTTAATGTCTTTTGGTGCATTCCTTTGTTGACCTTCTATGATCCAGTACCTGCTACAAGCAGCTTCATTCAACCAGATTGATGAGCTTTTCCAAAGCTTCCATTTAGAACAACCATATATTTAAAAACTATTTCTCATCAACCATATTACAGTGGTACCCTGAGATACGAAATTAATCCGTTCCAGGGTGGCTTTCGATTTAATTTTTGAATATTTCGTATCTTGAAGCAAGTTTTAAATGCCTAATCCGTGCAACGGCTCTCAGAAACAGGATAAGTGGATAAAAAGGAAAATCAAGTAACGTTTCTTCAATCCTTAAATCTACACATTGTTAATGTAATAAATGATAACAAAACACAAGCAAAATACGTAATACGTACACAAATGTGAAACCTTACCTTGAGAGTGAAGCGATGTGTCGGAGGAGGTGGAACGGATGACAGAAAACATAATGGCACCACGTATAAAAGTTAACTTTCTCGAGATATTTCACGAATTATGAACAGCAACACGGTTTCAAGTACATGCGCAAAAAGTACCTAGCGTACAGGAAAGAGCGCTTCTGAGAACACATCACAGGGTTTCTCTAACTTGTGCGACAAAACAGCACTTTCCACGTTATAAACGTTATTTCTTTCAGGACGCCTTGACTCTAACTTTTGTTTAAGCACATTATTGGTAATCTATTCATGTTTCACTCAATTTAAAGCTGATTTAAAGTGTTTTAAAGCGCATCAGCCTCTTTTACCACTGTCTGGATGGGAGAATGGAGCACCAGGACCCAGAAACGTCAGACTAAACAAGCGGATAATAGAGCAGAACTGTTGGTGTTTTTCCTATCTTGGAATCTTTTTTATATCTCGAACATTTCGTAACTCGAAGCATTCGTATCTCGAGGTACCACTGTATTGTTATATTTCTCATCAACCATTTTTTTTTTTACTTCAGCACATTTGTACAGATATAGAAAATCTAATGTATCAATCAACCTTTATTTGTCACAAACACTGTTACATGCAGTGAAACTGGACCTACCTGTGCATATCACCTGGGTTGGGGTTCTGCAGACAGAGTCACTATTTGACAGGAAGTTGCACATGTTAATGTCTTGCACACCCTCCGGGCAGTACACACTGTAGTCTCTCACAGGTTCAGTGTATTCCGTCTCAAGCTTTAACTGGCCCTGAAGTGGACTGCCGCAGCCCAGATCCATACAGACCATTGAGGACTCTTGACCAGTCCAGGTGTTTTTGCAAACTCCACCACAGCCATCTCCTCTGCAGACCTCCACAGTTCCCCAACATCTTTCATCACGCGAGTTACGAAGATTCACATCAACAGAACCTACAGATGGAACCATTTTAGGGATAACTCAGCAAAGACATTCTGTCAATAGATTTGTTTAATCACATTTTAATTAATTATGGTGTTGCTTGTATCGATGTCAATGAAAATAAATATCGATATAAAACATTGTGCTTTGTGTTGAAAATGTTATTAAATTAAGTTGTGCTTTGTGTTTAAGTCATTTTAATAAGTTAAGTTGTAGTTAGTATTTTATGGATATGTAAAAAGTTGTGCTTTGTGTTAAATTAACTAAGTTTTGCTTTGTGTTTAATTCAATTTTAATGAATTAAGCTTAAGTTTGTATTTGATTAATATCTATTTAAAAAGTTGTGCTTTATGTTAAATACATTTTAATTAATTAAGTTGTGCTTTTGGTTAAATTAATTTTATTTATAAAGTTGTGCTCTGTGTTAAATTCATTTTAATTAATAAAGTTGTACTTGTGTTAAATTAGTTTTAATTAATAAACTTGTGCTTTGTGTTAAATTAGTTTTAATTAATAAAGTTGTGCTTTGTGTTAAATTAGTTTTAATTAATAAAGTTGTGCTTTGTGTTAAATTAGTTTTAATTAATAAAGTTGTGCTTTGTGTAAAATTAGTTTTAATTAATAAAGTTGTGCTTTGTGTTAAATTAGTTTTAATTAATAAACTTGTGCTTTGTGTTAAATTAGTTTTAATTAATAAAGTTGTGCTTTGTGTTAAATTAGTTTTAATTAATAAAGTTGTGCTTTGTGTAAAATTAGTTTTAATTAATAAAGTTGTGCTTTGTGTAAATTAGTTTTAATAATAAACTTGTGCTTTGTGTTAAATTAGTTTTAATAATAAAGTTGTGCTTTGTGTAAATTAGTTTTAATTAATAAAGTTGTGCTTTGTGTTAAATTAGTTTTAATTAATAAAGTTGTGCTTTGTGTAAAATTAGTTTTAATTAATAAAGTTGTGCTTTGTGTTGAATTAAGTTTTAAGTAATAAAGATGTGCTTTGTGTTAAATTAATTTTATTTTTCAAGTTTTGCTTGTGTTCAATTCAATTTTAATAAATTAAGCTTTAGTTTGTACTTAATAATATCTATTCAAAAAGTTGTGCTTTATGTTAAACACATTTTAATAAATAAAGTTGTGCTTTGTGTTAAATCAATTTTAACTAATCAAGTTTTGCTTTTTGTTTAATTTAATTTTAATAAATTAAGCTTTAGTTTGTACTTAATGAATATCTATTTAAAAAGTTGTGCTTTGTGTTAAAAAAATGTAACCAATAAAGTTTTCTTTGTGTTTAATTAGTATCAAATGGTAAAGTTGTGCTTTGTGTGAAGCTCTGGGAAGCGCAGTGTAACGCACAATGAACGTTCCGGAATAACCCTGTACCATTGGTGTCAATAGTACAGGGCACCCGTCCAATAAACTTTCATTTCACACTACGCCAACATGAATTCTTTACATATACGTTTCTTACATCTACAGCAAAGAAAAAAACATGTACTACACATTTTACTTTGAAATTGACAGTAATTTATTAGTTTAAAACCTGAACATACCTGAACATGTGACATACGTGCTGTTTGGCTCTGTTTGGATCGAGACTAGGTTTCCACACTGCATCGCATGGCAAATGCCGCTGACATTTTTCTTATTCTCTGGTTCAGCACCATCAAATGAAGTGATGCGCACTTTACCCCGACAGGGCGTGTTTCCTTCAAAGAACAAAAGTTCTTCAGCTGAGGATGAAGGTAAATGTCATGGTTAACTTGCTATATGCAGAGTAACAAAAAAAACACGTTAAAGTGGTGTTTCACCAGTTAAACAAGTAAAAAGATGTTAAATTACCCTGGCAAATGACTTTTATGACGGGAGCGTTTTCACTTTTTGATCGTTTCTTCAGAAAACACTCATGAAGCTTTGCCGAGGAGTGTCTACACTGGAGATTCCAGTCCAGTTCCCTCTGTTTCCCATTGACGAAAAGCTCTTTAGGCATTGGAATGGATTTACCACACGAGAGATGTTGGCAGACCATGTCTGAATTTGCAGTTGTCCAATCAGAGGAGCGAATGGATCTCCATGAACCTTCCCATGATACCTCTAGACGACCAGAACATCTACCCAGGCCATCTCTCAAATGCAAATCCAAGCTGCCTGTTGTATACAAAGCAAAAACTAGAAGTGGCATCTCATTCTCAGCAAATTGTAATCAGAAATGATTCTGGTTTACCTGAGCAAACAACGGTGATCACATTACAGTGTTTGCGCTCACGTTTGGCCAGACACTGCCACAGGAACTCTTCATCACCCTGACACTCTACGTTGCTCAACAAACCATTGGAGACGACTCTACCTGCTTTGACGTCCAGCACCTCACCGCAGGCAAGTTCTCGACACACCACAACCCCAAGCTGACGGGACAGAGTCTGATCCGAAGCACTGCAAACGCCAAACTCTGTGTCATTCACAACAACAAACACCTCTCCAAAACACTTCGAGGTGAAGTTCCTCAGAGTGATGGTATCTGTGAAAACAGAGAGGGCACATGATCAAAAGCCCACTTTAAATTACATTGCAACAGAGACAATCCATCCTCATTTAACCAAGCGTTAGATCCTGCTCTGTGTCCACAAACGGACATTGAGTAATTATCATCCAGTTGTTTCTTGTCACATCATTATCCAATCTTCAGGTATTTAAGAAACTTGTCCACTGTCAATGTCATCACCCTGCGACTTCCTGGACTCCTTCTCCAGTGTTCCTTGTTTGCTTAATTCATGCACTGCTCCTAGAGTTCTACCTCTGGACCGTTACCCCACTCTAGACGTTACCCCACAACTGTCTCCTGCTGCAATGGATTGTTGAGCTAGCCACCACGTTAGCACCCTAGCTGGGTTGCTAGCCTGCAGCCTACCTGCAATTACTCACCTGTGCAGTTGTTGACACCTTTCCCAGAAGACCCCGTACCCATAGTAGTTGCAGTTCTTCTAGTACCAGACCCTTTTGACGCTTTTATCCAAAGCAACTAACATTTTGAATGAATTTAATTAACTTGCTTTTCCTTGGGATTTGAACCCACAACCTTTGCGTTGTTAGCGCAATGCTCTACAGGAAAGCCATCTCCAAAGGATTACTTACCTGAAACCCCTGTGCTACTCCTGAAAGATCCCTGAAAGACAGCTACCTCACAGACATGACACCAAGTACCCCTGACTGCAGATGGGATATGCCCCGCCCACTGATTGAGGAATCTTGATGTGGCTTCCATGCTAAACAGGATTAGGCTTAGAGTTAGGGTAGGCATCTACAAACCATTTTGAGTGGTGCCAACGCACTGCCATTTCTGATCCGTTTTTCAAAGGGGGAAAGAACACTGAAAGCTGGCTCTTTTGATGATGTGAGTAGGACGTAAAAGAGCCTCCTGGTGGCGCTCATCCCACATTTTCATAGCGACATCGTACAAGAAACAGGAAAGAAATGGCTCAAGAATTTTTTTCGATTTCTTATCTGTCATTCTCTTCTTCTTTCCTGTTTTCGCTTGTGGCTGGGAATGCAAACGCCATCTTCAGGCAGGGAACGTCATTGCATCAATATTTACTCAACTCAAAAATCTACCGGCTAAAAAAACCATCCGAAGATTTGTGCAAATCTCAATTCAGATTGGTGTGAGATAACATATGGGCGGGGCTCCATGTTCAGTGGGCGGGGCTTAACATATCTGCAGTCTGCAGACAGGGATACCTCCATTTAACTCAAAGTGCACACACACAGCAGTGAGCAACCCTTTCATTGCAATAGCCAGGGAGTAGTCGGAAAACTGTTGCCATGGCAATGTTGTAGTCAAAAGAGGAGAAAGTGAGGTTTTATCAACCACCTTCACCACCTGATGGAGCTTTGGATCAAACCGGTAACCTTCTGATGACCAGTCAATCTCCTGATCCATTAGGCCACAACTACCTTATATGTGTGAAGTGAATTATTTTGATTTTCGTTAATAACGAAAGTGTTAGCACATCCAGAAAACCTTCATCAGATGACAAAACCCTCCCAAATATTCACATAAATGTTCGGAGCAAGATTGAGAGCATTACCTGAGCACATCAGGATGTTAGATTCATTATAAGATGTGAGGTTTCCGTTGTGGCCGCAGTTGAGTTGTTTACAGATCTCGTCAGGTCTCATCTCTTTCCTCAGGGGAACCCATGATTTGTTTTGTACATCGAACTCTTCTACCGACCCAGAACAGGCACTGGAGCCTTTAAGACGAAACTTCTTGTGTTCTGTGTAATACAAGAATTTGACAAACAAACTTGAAAATTGTATGAAAAACGAAGTGAATAAAAACGTATTAAAGCCAGATGTTTCCATTTTGCATTAAACACAGCAAATGATGCAGCCATTTCAAAGGCATGTATATTTTTAAAACTTCTTAAAAGATGAAGCAGGGAAAACCCTTTTACTAAAAAGAATTGTCAGTTTATTGTTTGGGCAAACAGTGTGTGCTTAGCATCAGTGTTGATGACTTCACCACAAGGGCCTTCAAAGAAGTATAGCCTTGTATCGATTAGTGAAAAATAAGAAGTAAATAAATAAAATTTAAAAAATAATGGAACAGTGCATAAGGTTAAGGAGAGGTTCACTTATTTACATTTTTGGCCTTGTTTTTGTTTTTTTTTTGGGGGGGGGGATTTGTGAATTTTTTTATCTTGTCTCAACACTTTGATTATTGCTTATGAGATTTTTGTAGTAAAAATCGGAATTGTATTTTTGTACATTTTTGGGTTTGTTGTGGAATTATTGTAATGTTGTAATGTAATGACAAATTATTAGTAAAAAAGAAGCAATTATAATCATTTCCAAAAAGAACAAAGAAAAAACATGATTAGAGCAAATTGTAAAGTAGTGAAAATGCTGCATGATAGGGAGTGTTCTTCAGAGAGCAGCATAGCAGTGGTCAAAATGTCGCTCACCGCTGCAGATGACGCTGGCTTGATCCAGGCAGTTTGTGGTCCGTTCCATACACTGCCACGAAAAGCGCCCATTGCCAGAGCAGTTCAGTAGCACGTTGTGATTGGTGGGTTCTCCTTTGAAAAGTCCAGGTTTGGGGATGTATGAATGATTTCCACAACCAATCTCCTGACAGATCATATCTGCTTTGCTTTTATCTGAGGAAAAATGTAAAAAACAAAAAAGAACGTCATTTTGTGAATGCTGCAACTTTCTATAGCAACCTGCTGCTAAGATTTCAAACCGTAATTAAACACAAAAAAAGTCACTTTCATTCATTCGTTTGTTTATTCGTTCGTTCACAGGGAGAGCAAGGAAGGGTTTGATCAATGCTATGCTTCCTAGTTTGGGATAAAACTCATCTGCCAAATTTATAAAAAAAACGTGGCTCTGTTTGTTTGTGTTGATTGGGGTATTTTTGAGATGTTTTTAGTGGCAAAAATAAACATTAGGTGTTTGTATTGCAGTTACTGATTTGTCTAACAAAACCGGTAACAACACATCAGTTAAAATAATCACATTTGCAAAAAATATTCTTTCCTTTTTTTCTTTCAATTCTTTCAATTATTCATTTCATTTGTACATTTTTGTCAAATCCATTTATTTTTAGAGCACTTTCAGCCTCATGGACCAAACAGCACAATATAAAGCAAAACTTAACACTATAGCCGTTTATATAAACAGCATTAAAAAAACAGACATCTTATAAACAATAAATATATTTATAACATAGAAATCAGTGCTCAAAAACTTTACGGATTCAAAGTAAACTGAAAATTTTTTACACTTTTTGAGCAACTTCCAAAAAAATTTTTTTTGCAAAAAAATGGGTGTTATTTGAATTAGTTATATGTTTATTGAAAAAAAGAAGCTATTTTTCACTCTGGTTAAGGTGTAAAATAATATACATCTATATTTACCCCAGTTAGAGTTGCAAACTCCAAAGATGCCGTCGTGTGTTGTGAACTCAACTACTCCAGCGCATCTGTCTGTCTGGCCGTTCAGATTCAAGCGCAGTTTAACGTCTCCTATAATGAAAACATAACATTACCATACAAAAAGATCTTCAATAAAATAAAACAGGGTCACTCACACAAAAGTGTTTTTTTTTTACTTCAATGAAATCACTTTTAAATTAAAATATTATGTAGTTATGTATTCAAAATATTGGGAAAGTATTTGCATTTTGATCCCTTACCAGAACATTTGACAGCCACAAAGCTCCCTTCTTTGCAGTTTACAACTCTGGCCCCAACAAATGGGCATTTCCACAGACTCTCTTCTTCAGATGTGCATTTCACCTGATCCATGAGGTAAAGTTTGGGTAGAAGTTGATCTTTGTAGAGGGTGTTCTCCAGACCGGAGCGCACCGGGTCCCCGCAGCCTAATGATCGACACACAACCTCTGCATTTTCTCTTCTCCATCCAGAGTAACACACAAGGCCCCACTGACTGATGCCGTTATGACCCCCGTAAACTTCCAAACGGCCTTCACACGGGCTTTCAGAGCCACGCAGAGTCACGTTGAGACCTGTCAAAATTTCATCGAAATTCAACACAGATTACAAAGCATGATTATTTTACATAATAGAAAGATGTTGTCAGAAAACAATTCTATTACATGTACACGTAGATTTAGGGATGGGTTCATTTCATTAATAAGAACTAAAAATGTTAAATAAACTAAAGTTATTATACCTGACTCTCGATTAAAGTCAAAATACTATTTTAAGTACAAAAAAGCACAGAAACTAAATAAGAAAATGAATAATGAAATACACAGCATATTCAACTAGTTTAGTTTATGATAGGTCTGTATGCTAAGAGAGATTGACCACATCAAAAAAAAGTATAAATAAAGTTTATAAAAACAAAAGATAAAAACATGAATAATATACAGGTCGATTTTTGGAAAGAATTGTTAAAAATGTGAATTTGCAATAAATAAATAAATAAAAAAAAATGAAAAAAATATATATATATATATATATATATATATATATATATATATATATATATATATATATATATATATATATATATATATATATATTATAGAATCAAACATTAAAAAAATACAAACAAATCAAAACTTTTAATAAAACAACAAGCAGAATTTTCAAATAAATATTTTTGTTTTCTTCACTGAACACAATGGGAATAGGATTGTAATAAAATGATTACAACATTGTTGAATGTTATAAACGTTGTAGTTGTACAAAAATAAGAAAAAGTACAACCCTGGGTAAACCAAATATTGTATCAATGACAAACAGTTGATTGCATCAAAACATTTAAGACATTTTAGAACATTTCACAAGCAAATATTATTTAGAATGTCTTGAATATAATAAAATATGTTAAGAGTCAGGCTGTGCGTCCCAAGCTGTGCTATCCGTATAGAATTCAAAATTAGTTTATCCAAATTACTTTATTTCAGATTTAAAGGTATTTTTTAATGGTTTGCTATTTCCAGCATGCAGAACAATAGACACATAGAGGGCTGATATTACCCAGAATTCTCTATGAGAGGAACATGGATTTACTTAAAAGTCTTAAGTGTATCTCCATTACCTGTGATTTCTTCAATCAGCAACAAGGGTACGTTTCCTAATGTCTAGTTAAATTATTAAAAACAAAATTGTGAGATTTTTCAGTGTAAATGACCTGAAAGTAACTCATTAAAGTCTAAAATTAACAAACAAAGACGCTAGAAAAAACACAAAAAACAGGAAAGTAGATTGCCATGCTCCTAATATGTGCACGGAACAGCATGCACACTTTCCTCAGACACTTGGTGCCCTATACCTCCCACAAAACAACTACTTAAGGGTTTATAGTGTTACTTGGGACGCAGCTAAGGTGCTTTTTTTTTTACTCTTTATGGTCAGTGGAAAGTGTGCTTCTGAGAAAAGCTGATTCGAAACTGCTGTGGTCTCTTATCTGCAAGCCTGAAACTCTCATTAGGTGCATGTTTCTGCAGATTCTGAGATAAACCACTGCATCTGAGCATCCGATGGTTAATCACAAGCTTAATCATCCATTTCCAGACACGGTAACCAAGAAAATACGCCTGGCAAACAACCCACTGCATGCTCTTGGTGTATATGTAGTTAAATT